CATTAAGCCATCCGTCATCTCTAAGTTCTCTTCGATTTATCTCATTTGAACCTACCTTCCCTTAAAATTAAGCTTGTGCAATGTTTTAAAACTTTCAATGCAGAAATCCTTAAATCTGTGTAAACTTAAATACAGTAAGTTGCAAAACCATAAATAAGAAATAGATTAGCAAAATAAAATAGGCACATAATGCCACAAACAATCATGTAAGGAATAAAATAGATAGTCACCAAAAAAGCTATGGTAAGTCAACATACCACTTTTAATTTCAGATTTACTAGAGTTTCTTGACACCCCAAGAACAGAATAATAGTCCTGCTTATTAAAAACATTATCATGTTAGATTGAGAATGCAAACAGTGAGTACGATGCCGATTACAGCAATAAACTGGTTACTGAAAGGCTCGGAATAAATAATTAAATAATGGAAAAACCATTACAGCCTCAATTTTCACCAAAAAATAAAAGCAAAAGGAAACTGGAAGTTTTGTACTCACAGTTTCAGCTCTAACAATAAATCGTGCACCCCTACGACGATGTGAAGTCTGAGATGATCCCACAAAGGATAACAATGGTAAGGAATCACGGGAAAATAAGCTTGAACTCGGCGCTCCCAAATAATTTATCCTACTTGTGACTCTGCGTAAGAATAATAAACACCTAAATTATTCTCTCATAGATACCAGCAAATAGAGTACTAGGGCTAGAGGTAATACACCACCCAGTTCTCTTTCTCCCTCTCTTTTTAATCAACACAACAAATATAGCCAAGCAAAAGAGGAATTAAGAAAGGGGGTAAATTCGCCCATCTAAATTATGTTCACCAAAATGCTATGAATCAATAAATTCACAAATGTTATGCATGCTGATGAAGAAACCATAAAAGTAAATACCATAACTAACAATAACATTGCAAATTTAGCAATTCCACTTCTATATAAAGCTCCAGAAGCAAATAATTGTAGTCTAACCATTAAATTCAGCAAATTCCATTCTACAAGTAAAACCGTTAAGCAGAAAACTTACCCCAATTGTGTTGTCATTATTCGGTTTGTGACATAAGATCTTATAGTGAACTGAGGACGAATACCGCACTGGGCAACCCATGTACTTCCGCAAGGTATAATGGCCATCCAATATGGGTAGAGGACCTGATTTACAAGTTTATTCTGAATGACCTTTCACAGGCTGAATTAGATAAAAACTCAAAACTTAGTGTACTCTTGAATGATAAATATGAATATTATTAAAAATTATGAAAATTCAGAATTGATTGACTGCACCATCAAAATGAACTAAGCTCAATACGATGCCTCCTTACAAGAAAGAAAGTAAAATAAAATAACTAAGACTTTCTTCATGCATCAAAAATGTAATACAAATGGGTTAAAAACAAAATAAATCCAAAGGATATGGCATTTATTCTCCTGATCATCATTCACATCAACAGTTACCATTAACATAACAAGAGTAAATAAGATAAAATAAAATAAACCGGTAGACTCCTAATATTGAAGTTCACACTTCGCTGCTCATTGTGACAAATCCAAAATCGTAATTTAAAGACGCTCGATGGAAAAAATGGGCTACTATTTGAAAGGCCATGTATTTTCATTAATTATTATGATGAGCACAACATTTTAACACTATAAATGGCCACAATTACCATTAACGGTGCAAAAGCCTACATAAACAAAAACAAACCCACAGCAAGATTTCCAAATCTTGAATGTCACACTTTGTTCAGACTAACAAATAGTTTCAAAGACTTCAATATCAGGCAAACCCTGACTAACCATTTTCTGACCCTAGAAACAAGGTTCTATTTAGGCAGCATTTAAACCTGTTCTTGTCCACTGCTTCAAGGCAACGCGCATTTGTTGTGGAATTTCTGCCTTCATTAGTTTTCGTTTAGGTATGTATCTTCATTGCCTTCAAAAGATGTTAACTATTGACGCTTGTTAAAGCACATTTCCAATTACTTATCGAAAGCTATTCCTAACTAATCATTCAAGACCAAAAATCACTTGTGCATTTTCTGGCTATTGGTAGCAAAAAGAAAAATCTTTCAAGTAGAAAATAAAATTACTTATCCAAATGCTAAGCAAAGCACTTCAAATCCTTCTATCCACTAGGGTAAACCATCCACCACCCAAAAAGAAAAACTGTAAATTAAAAATTCATGAATGACAAAATAAATAAAATAATAATAAAAACATGAAATGACAATAAGTAGCGACCAGATAATTGATAGAACATTAAAATTTTCAATACGCATGCCTTATTTCAAGAGCCAACACAAACAGGAATTTAGATTTTAAAGCAAAAATAAAAGAAAAATGGGGAAATTGAATTCAAAATTAGGGCATGAATAAGGAGCTAACTTGCGAACCTTTTTGGCTCCAAAGTGGTTCGCTCTCTCTGAGAAGGAAAGAGCGAGAGCGAGAGAGAGAGAGACAGGATTTGGTGAGGTATCTAGCAGGCGGAGGATGAGGTTAGGGCCTCTAATTCTAAATATTGAATTTTTATTGGATTTTTTTAGAAAAATGGCTGTCAAGTTGCAACGGAGACTTTTTTCACCGTTGGATTGATTCCAAGATTTTTGACCTTTTGCTACTACTCGTCCGATATGTGGAAAGCACTTAGTAGTATTTTTGTTTTTTATGAAGTAATTAGCAGTTTTACGTGCTTGTCAAACCAAGATTCGTTTTGTAAACTAAAGTAGTAATTTTTTGAAAGAATTGTGAATGTGGTATAAAATTTTAAAATTAATTAAAATTTATTAGAACAAAGTAAAATAATTATAATTGTAATGAAATTTTAAAATAAAAGTATTAATTTTTTTATGAAGAATGAAGTGATTCAATTTAAAAATGTTTTGTTTGTCCAACTTCTTGTATACATAATAATGCATAAAATATAAGAAATAATTTAATATTTTAAAATAACATATACTATATATTTTGTATATAATGTATAAATATATATATATATATATATATATAAGAATTTTGCATCAGTGTTCGTGTATGCACATTTATATTTATTTTGTGCACATAAAAAATTTTTAAATGCATAATTGAAAAAACAAAATTCAATACTTATTTTTAAATAAGCAAAAAAAAAAAGAAGTTTTTATAGATTTCTTTAATGTTTTAGTATAACTTAAAACTTTGAATTCCTAAACAATTAAAATGAGGGGAAAAATTAATTTTATATTATTTAAGTTTAAAACTTTAAAAAACTGTATGTTTTGTAAAAAAAAAACAATTAAAATTGCAATTTTAAGTAACTGGGTCGGATCAAATTTTAATTAAGTCTAGCCCAAATGCAATAAAGAATCAAATATATTGTACTATACTTATTAATTTGCCTGTGAATAGATTGATAGGTTACCAATTCATGAAAAATTCAACTCTCTTATACACGCAAGTCGAATATACTATAAGTCAAATTGAATCGTATCATATATATTGATTTAAAAAAGCTTTACTTTTAATAAAATAATATCATCCTTTCAATATTTAAAATATATTAATTGTTTTTTAATTAAAAGAAAATATTATTATTTTAAACTAAAATGTATCATATAGTCGGCAAAAAACTAATTCATCTCAACATATAACAATCATTGCTACATGTGAAAGCAAAATTTTAAATCAATTGTCCTTAAATCAATTTTTAATAAAAATGTAAGTCTGAATTTATTAAAATTTAGGTAAATGAATTAAAAATGTCAAATTAACAAAGTAAAAAGGCCAAATTCAAACTTCAATCAATTTTTTTTAATAAAATATAATTCAAATCCTGCATTTCAAACAGAGAGATTATATATCAATCAATAAATCAAATGCTCAAATATTAAACTTCAATTAAATTAATGATGAGATAGTGCACTCATTGAAAGAGATTTTTTGAAATTATTTTAATTCTGTCTCAATTCTTGTAATTGAGCCTCCAATTAACCTCTCAAACAGCATGGCTTTAAATAAACAGTTAAAATCATATTTAATTTCTACAAAGTCTATCTTAATAAATTTTAGTGGAGCATGAATATGAGTTAAAGGAAGAATCCTTTTAGCTTATAGTTTTATGAGTTTTTTTTTTTTTGAATAACAGGATTTCATTGAAAGAGGCAGAGTCCCAACAAAAAAAGACACCTCAATAACAATTACAACAGCCAATCAGGAATAATCCTGGAGCAGCAAATCACAAGAAAAAAGCAAGCAAGGTGAATTTAGTTATGAGTTAAATGGGTGAATATATATGGCGGGTATATTAAAAATAAGGTCTAATTATGTGCATTGCAGTAATTTTTATCCGAATAGGAGATTGTTGATTGAATATGGTGAATTTATCAAGGAAGAGTTTAATTGTCAGCTTGCACATATATGCACTCCAAGGTAATTTTTTAGGTAAATTCAATGTCCTGCTTAACCCGCTTATGCCCGACATAGTCACAAGCAATTGCCTCCAAAGCAGATCATCTTGATCTTGGGTTGAGTTTTCATAAGTTTCTCCAGAACCTGGGAAGGGTTAGAGCCACTACTTGTTAATGATGTAATTGACGATTTTTTGTGCCAAGAAAAAGGTACCTACCCGACCTTTTATCCTGAAAGAATCTTAGCTCAACTGATCCAATAACCTCTGCTTTCAGCATACTTGGTCATGCACAAGGTTCTGGTTGGCTTTTGAGCTTAGCAAACCTGCAGGAAAGATTCTTGCGTCAGATATTATTAGATTAAACAGATAACTAATGTTTATTAAATTCTCATATTAATGAAAAGATTTCAGTTTCTCATCCCTTTCGGCGTGCTTGCTCTGAGGTAAAAAGCTCTCAGGTCAGGTATAATCAAAGAGCTAACATTCAATTCAAGAGAGACAGAAAGAGAAAGAGAGACAACTGATGTATTAAAGATTAGTACTGTCGCTGGCTAAGTTTGTTAGCATATAATCAAGGGGCACTGAAATTTTCATTGTAAAATTCTAATCCACTCATTTAACAGCTCCTGCCTTTTTTTTCTTTGTTTTGGATTTCTTCTGCAGCGCCTATATCATAAAGTATCTGTTTTTGTCTAGTTCAGTAAAGTAACGAAAAAGTAAAACTCCAATATAACCACCCGTTTCCCTTTGGTCTAAGGGAGTCGAACAAAAAACTTAAGCTGGTATGGATAGTCTTCCTCTTCCCTTCATCGTCCTCCTGATCACCCTCTTCACTCCCTTGCAAACTTCATCAGCCCCTGGCTCAGCATGCCAGTCCACATGCGGCTCTCTTCAGGTCAAGTACCCCTTTGGCACCGGCTACGGCTGCGGCTCTCCCCGGTTTCAACCCTATGTAACTTGCAGCTCCGACCATCTCCTCCTCACAACTCATACAGGCTCTTACCCTATCACCTCCGTATCTTACAAAGATTCAACCCTTACCATAACCCCGCCTTACATGTCCACATGCAGCTCCATGCAACAATCACCCAACTTGGGCCTTGACTGGGCCAGCCCTTTCCAGCTAGGTCCATCAATTTTCCTCCTCCTCTCCTGCACTCCCCCTACGTCCTCCCTCACCATCAAGGGCTCTCCAGTCTGTGATCCTTCCTCCTCAGACCTCTGCGCCTCTATCTACTCTTGCCCTTCCGTCGTCAGCCTCGGCCTCCATTTGTTCCCTCCTACCAACACTTGCTGCGTGTACTCGCCGGCGAATTTTAACAGCAAAGGTGAGTTGGACCTGCGTGCAATGAAATGTATAGGGTATGCATCAATTGCCTCATTTCAGGATTCTCCAACAGACCCTAGTAGATGGCAGTACGGGGTGACATTGAAGTATACAAATGGAGCGTTTGATGATTATGACATGAACAACAAATGCAATACTTGTGAAGATAGTGGTGGTCTTTGTGGATATTCTCCTCCTAGTGATTCATTTGTCTGCGCATGTAAGAATGGTTTCAATACATCTACAGCTTGCTACAATAACTACAATCCGTTTCAGGATGACGAGGATCAGGAGATTACTTGGAGTTCCACTTCATTACCAACCTGTAAGTTGTTTTGTTCTCTTTTTTCTTTATTCTTGATTTATTTTGTTGCTCATGTTGCTTAATGTGTGAATGGTGGGTACTGGGTTGATGGGGTATTAGATTCTTATGCTTTGCTAGAAAGTGAACTTCCGTTTTGCTAAACCACGTATGATTTGGTTTATCTTTAAGTGGAATATGCCAAGGGATTTGTCTTGGGGCATAAAGGTATAATTTCTGTTGGGTAGAGGAAAAAACAAAACTAAAAAGTGAGCGTTAGACAGTGTAAAGGAATCATTGATATGCTGGTTTTGGCAGGGAAGATTTGGCTGGGATTATTAGCTGGTCTGACTTTCTGCCTTGCTGCTTGAGAGAGAGAGAGAGCGAGGAAGAAAGCGCAAGCAGGAGAGGGGCCTCAGCCTTTTTTAAAGCATCTTTTCCTTCGTTTTTTTTTTTCCTTTTTCTATTATGCTGCCCTAGATATGTTTGTAAGTAGTTAATTTTCTGGTAGACTCTTAAGAACTATGCTCCGACATGGAAAAGTTGTAAAGATAATGTTCAGCCAAAAAGGAAGTATGGACGATACAAACCGTCCGGCCACAATGTAAACCAATAACAGGTTGGCTGCACGAGGACTTGTCAAGACATGATCCCCATTGGAATACCCTTTTATTCAAAGCGAGCTTAATTGCAAAGTTCTGGTTTAATTAATGAAATCTGCACATTGATATTGGTCTATGATCTTGCGCCTATATAATTTGATCGAATGTCAAATTGCGAAGTGCCAAATCCAGTACAGATTGTACTAGCTTCTTTGCAAAATATCAACCTTTTTTCAGGGCTACGCCTTTTGCTTTCTGTAGCATGAGATTTCATTTATAGCAGATCCCAAGCAGCCAAGCCCACCATACAAGAATAACAAAGCCGCTATTTAATGAAGAAACCAACAGGAAAAAGGTGGAACAAGACTAATGCAGACAAAAATTGACAAAATTAATGATATGTGGCGGGGATAAGAATTAATGATATTGTAGATAAACAACCATTTTGGAGCAAGAATGTATAACAGTTCTTCTACAGATTAAATGTCTAAAAAACAAGCTTCACATGCCATGTCCTGTTCTAAGCAGCACTTCTCACCTCTATACCATCCAAGCTGCTTTGCAGACAATATTAGGCATTTGCAAAGAATTAAAGGAAAACAATCACTGCCCAAATTTATTTTGATTCTTTGACATTTTCTTCTGCGACTTTAATTCCATCTCAGCTTGACAATTCATATATAAATTTCAAATGCTAGAAGCGTGCTTAATCTATGCAACAAGTTTGAATGGCCGGAAGGAGTACATTTGATACCATTGAAAAAAGTTGAACATAAATCAGTACAATTATATTTAACCAGCACACTAGTTATACAGAAAAGATATGGATAGATGAGCAGGGACATTCAACATAAATGGTGATAATAAGTCATGAAATTTCCTGCAAAATGGCTGGACACCAATTAAAGGAAGCAGCAAGAACCAGCCAATGGTAAATTCATCCCTGGTAATGGAAAACAATCAAACCAAGAGTTCACCTGCTGAATTAGACTCCATAAGTAACCTGGCTAACTTGCTAACCTTCCAGAGGGTGATAGCTCATAAATTCCCATCATCCTAAGGCTATTTATATATAACTATAAGAATTGAGTAATACCACAAACTTTAAATATACTGTTTTATGAAGGCCCAAAAAATAGTTACCGTTTCATATTCATCCACAAAACACAACACATCCCCAAAATGAAGGCTTATGTGAGAAACCAACAACTCCTGGATTATCTTCAGTCTTTTGCTTACCTCTCAATCTGTTTTACAGTCATTGCTGTAGTTTCCTTGCTTAACTGGAGGAAGCGGATCAATAAGGAAAGATTTAAAATGCTTGTATAGCTCTTTAGGCTTCTCTACATTGATGGCATGCCCTGCATTCTTTATAATCACTAGTTCTGCATTGTCTCCCAGATGCCTGCATTGGCAGCATAAGATCACAATTATACTCCACCCAAATGAAGAGGTCAAAAAGCATGTGTAAATAACAAAACCAATCTCATTTCTCATAAAAAAAAAAAAGGATGCACAGGAAGGTTTCAATCAAAGAATTTAAAAATTTCCTTTCATTTACTTTATTAATTGAAGATTCAGAAGATCAGTCCAATCAGGTTAGATTCCAAGCTCATACTTTTTAGATGTTCTTTCATGTAAGCAAAAAAGTCATCATATAAAAAGCAGAAAACAGAATTGATGTTTTATCATTATTTAGTCCTTAGAATGACCTTTTCAATCTGTGTCCCAATTCCAAAGGGAATATTTGGTCATGTTCTCCCCAAATTATTAGTGTTGGCTGCAAAAACGAACAATATTAACTCAGTAAAGGCTCAAGAATGAAAAAGACTGCCCTTTACAAATAGTATATGCTATATAGTTAAGGATACGTGGATTAAAATTTTGACCAAAGTACAATAACCTGGGTTATCTTTGGCAGATCTGATAGTTTTCTGTCGTTGTGTAATGCTTGGATCAACTCTTTTCTCTCTTGCAGGTATTCTGTGCACATGACCTGCCAACCAAATTAAAATCTCAACACAAACATAAGGCAATAGTGTAATAGAAAAAGCTTGCTTCCTTGCCAAAACTAACATTAATATCAAAAAAAAGTTGAAAGTTTAGATGAAAACCTAGAAGCATTATGTGAAAGAGAAATCTACTAGTTGGATCTCTCAGCTGTGCTTGCCATACATCAGTGTGGCAGTGAAGGCAACGACATTTATTGACTTAATGGTCATTGTATGCTTGTTAAGGGATGCATATCCACCAAAATTTGAAACTTTATGACCATCTTAAAATTATGGTCAAAATTAGTGGGAATACAGGACAAAAATTAGACTAGCAGTTTCTGAAAGAAATACACTGATCACAATCAGTCAAGGAACATAAACAACAGAAATCAAAAAGAGAGTCAACAAAATAAGAGTGAGACTGTCTAATTACAAAGTTTAATATTGTCAACTCAGAAAAAACGCCCATGAAGCTAACTATTTTCTCATCATAAACTTTTTGAAACCATTTTCCAAAAACTAAGTTTTTTCTATTTCAAGGTGACAGCCTGACTATGGAAGAATGTCGAACATCATTCGTTTTAGTTGCTTTTTTGATACTATTTCCTCATCATTCTTGAATGATGTAATTACCAAAAGAGAACAATTCGTACTAGAGTTTTTCTTTGACAGGTATATTGAAGTGAATGCTTGTGGTTATAAACTATAACTGATTTATGATGATGGTAGGAAAATTTTGGATATTTGCTTTGCAAAATTTAGCAGAAAAATCATCTCTGATATCAGGTAAGAACTTCAAAAGCAGCAGCAATTAATTTTCCACAATCCAACATTATATGAACATCAAATGGCTCTAATTCATCATTAAAATCATGATTGGAATGTCTTTTGTGAAATTAATATTTTCACAATTGTTTTCTTGACTTCTGCACTTTCTGCAGTCAGCAATCTTGAATGCCATAGCAGCAAAACAGCTCTGCTTCTACCATTCCCTTGAAATGAATATGCCCTTGTCATTACTAATAAAGAAGCTATAATCATATAACTTATAAGTAGCATGGACACAAAGTAGCTTCTTTCACCCATATTATAGACTCAATACCTATGCAAAGTTTTCAACTCCAAACATCGTATTCCAAAGATTTGAACCTAAAGCCTCTTTTTCGAAAATATGACTATCAAAGTATCGATTAAGCTACATTCCCACCCTTACACAAGGAAGTATTACTATAAAGTATAAACCTCTAAAAATTCCCAACAAATGCATTACATGTAAAAAGAAAGAAAATTCAGCCTTGGACCAACTATTAACCTAAAACCAACAAAAGAAAGCCCAAAAATCTAGCACCATTTTTCTATTCATAGTGACCTAATTGAAAATGAAAAAATAATGATCAAATGAATTAGAGTAGCTTACTCACATGGATGAAATCGTTTAAAAAACAAGAAGGAATTCCTTTAGAAGGCTTATGAAACGAAATCTTCATCAACTCCCTCATCTTATCCGGCGTTTGGGCCAACAACATACTAATAGCCTCATCCACACTCTTCACTTTAAACATCCCTTTCTCCATATCTTTCTCTTCCAAACACACCCCAGCGCAACACAGCACCAACTTATCCAATCTCTCCTTAAACTGCGCAGCCATACTATAACCAACAAAGCCGCCATAACTAATCCCAACAACGTTCATAACCGCAACACCATGGGCGTCCATAACCCGCATGACACACTGGGCCTGGAACTGCTCCGACCTTTCGGGCCGGGTCGTGTAGGATTCCCCAAAGAAGAGGAGGTCCGGGACGTAGACGTTGAAGCGGGACATGAGAGGGGAAACGAATTCGTTCCATTGCCACATTGCATTGGCACCTATGCCGTGGATGAGGACCAACGTGGGCTTGGATTGAATATGGGCTTTGGGTGCCCAAACGTGCATGACGGTGCCGTCTCCGAGGTCCGTCGTCAATGATCGGAGACCAGCGTTGGAGAAGCTGTAACGGTACCACCAGTCCCGAGCTGCAGTGAAGCTGAAACACTTAGCCATTCTACCCCTTTATTTTTTTTGTTTCTGAAAGGTGATAATAACTAAGCGGAAGGAAGAAAAGAAGCGACTTTAAACAAAGATGAAGATGACGTGGTGGGTTTTGATTGGGGGTAAATAAAGCGCCAAATTTTGTTTAACGAGTTTTTTTTTTTGGCTGACAGAGAAAGTCAGTGTCTGGATTCCAGACTTTGGTTTGATTTTTGGATTTTTCCTTTGGTTTGTGGGACAAAGTCAATGGGAAATCAGGATTAAATTAAAGAGGTGGGGGGCAGTTGTTAGGAATAGGGCAGGCCTATCAAAATGAGACATTTTGCAGATGTTTTGAGGAAATGTCAAAAACGTCTTTTTAATTGAAATTTATTTCAATATAGTTAAAATTAAAGTATAGATGTTAGTAATTTTCAAGTGAAGAGCAGTAGACCTTTATTCTATTCCCACTCTCTTTCTGGATAGCTGAATAATAATCAGAATCAAGATGGGCATGGCCATGGGATTTTGGGAGTGGAAAACTTTACCCAAATGCTTTTGATAGTAAGGGATACAAGGGTTCCATCAAAATCATATTACAATGTGTTAATTGCATAATTTTTTTTTTTTATGGTATATGTTCTGATCCTAATCAATGCCACCCGTCGCGGTGCCATTGGAATTGTAATGTGTCATTGCTTGATCAGAAAAGTGAGGAAGAATCAAATTTATATAAAAGAAGAAAGCAGAAATTCTTGTTGGCTAAATGTTCCTGCTAAACTGGAATTGTAATGCAAGGATGTCTCCTCATTGACACTTCATAGATTCCTCTCTCAAAATTATTCCCACAAGAAATCCATTGAACTAGAGTTTCCTATTGAGGCCCAGATATTTCTAGTTTGGTCACCGGCTTTTTCTGGCTTGTTATTGCTTTCAAGTGCAAACTTTTCCCTTTGCTCATCTCTCTGCATTTTTACAGACAACTAGCCTACACTAACCAAATATGTATTAGACTATTAGCTAAGGAAAGGTTTTAAGTGTTCGTACAGCTCTTTTTAAGCTTCTTTACATTGATAGCACGCCCTGCATTTTTTATGGCCGCTAGTC